AGTTCTACGTGCCCGGGTGGGAAAGGTAGGCCCGGGGTATGTTAAGCTTCATCGAGAGAAAATTCAGCATGAGTTACAGCCAACGTTTGTACGGGAATTCTATGACTCCTCTAATCCTTAGTGTTACTTGTGTGATGACACAATTACCAGGCCGACTCAGGGCACCTCCCTGTAGACACAGAACTGTAATAAGAGGACACTGTGCTCTCCGGCTGATGCCTCAGTGATTTGTATTTCCAGTCGGCTTCCCCCTTCCCGGGTCTGTTCACCGGAAAGAGCAGGACCTCACAGGATCAGCTATTGCGCTCTGGGCAGCCAGATAAGCAGCTCTTATCTCTCTGTCATTTGTGATTCAACAGATGTCTGAATTGGTTAAGTACCCAGAACTTAAACCAGCACAGATCTCACAAGGGATTGCTCCCGTCTAACTCTGATTTGAAGGGAGATGGGACAGATGACCCACAGCGAGGTTAAATGTGGGTCACATGGGAGGGCATTGTAGTCCGTGTGGAGGGATGAGCTAAACTCCAGTTGCCTGCTCCCAGGCTGAGGGCCCTTGAGCAGCGGAGTCCAGAGCATTGATTGCCGACCACACCAAGCTCTCTCCCTCTTCACTCCGCCCTGCACTCCCTTTCCAGGGAGCCCAGCAAAAATCCTGGGGAGGGCGCATACAGATGAGTACAAAAAGTGCTTTGTGCGCAGCTACTTTGCATCTCTCCTCTCCCTGGCCCAAAGTGGGCTTTTGAAACCATGTTATTGTAATCATCGCTTTCTGGTGCATTTGAGATTACATCGACATTTAAAAATCTAGCTCGCAGGAAGTAGGTAAAACAGCAAGCGAATGCTTGGCCAAAACAGTCTTTGTTGACACGGCAGGGCCCGTATGTCAAAACAAAGAATCTTCGAACAGTTGCAAGGCGGAATGCGCTTCTTTTCAGCAGGGACTGGATTCATGAGGGGCTGGGCCCTCACTTACGCTCCTTGCAGTGACAAGCACAGTTCTTTGCCCAGCTTGGGTCCCCAGTAAGGCTTCAGCTCTCCACCAGAGTCGGCCTGTCCTCCACTAGATAGGTCTGCTCTCCCCGCCCCCCCCCATGCCTTCCCTCTTGGGTACCCTGGAGGGCCTGGCCCTGGACCCGTGGCATCGAGCAATCTTTACTCTAAATCACACTGCAGAGCTACACAAAAAATTCCCCCCGGGCCCTCTAGAAAAACACTGGAGTTTTGTTCAGGGCAAATTAAGCTCAGAGACTATGATTCTTTGCCAATGGTTTATTGGACACAGGCTCATTACGGGAATTACTATACTATTTCACAAGCCAATAGCACACCAGATAATGCCTCTTAAGAAGGCAATAAAGAAAGAACGTACTCCAAACCAGTGATAGATTAATTACACTATGGTTCCAGGCAAAGGGGAGGTGACAGAAAGAAAGGCCAAATTTCATTGAGGTGTACCTTCCTACAAGCTGGTTCTCAGTGGACTCAGTCCTTCCAATCAAAAGCTGGGGATCAGCTGCCAGATGAGGTCCCTCATCGTTGGGGCGTGTAGCTGGTGGGTGATGGCACCATCACTGGAAGGCAAGGGGGGGGGCGCTGTCCCACTGGTTACAACTCCAGCGACTGTTTTGCAGCTTGTACTACTGCCTACAAGGAACAGAGTCGCCAAGACGGGAACAGACATTCCGTCTCTTCCTGAGATTGTTGTATGGTCCAACAGCACTGCTGACCGGGAATACTCTGGCCACAGTAGGAGCAAGTGTCTCAAGATCTTTGGAGAGCTAATCAGATCAAGGAAAAGCACTCTCGTCAAGGCCAAACGCTCTCAAATAGCTGGTCAAACCTCTTGGCTTTTGCAGTTTAAAAGTCCCTCAAGTGACAGATGCCACTGCTGTCACTCTGGTGTCAATAACATAACGGTCCCTCCCACGCCAAGTGTGAGAGTTTGAGAACAAAGTCCTAATATCTAATCTCAAAACAATTTCACCAAAACAAGTGACTCAAAACAAGTTCAAACCACAACTTTGTCCATAAAGAGCTTTCAAAACATGGAGTTGAAATCATAACACGTCTGTACACAGCAAATTGCTTTCATGTTAAGTTACGCTGCGGAGATTTGCTCTCGATAAAAGATGGATTGGCTTCAGTCTGTCAGATAGTAGGCATGCACTAGGGAGGAACACGGGAGCTGACAGAAGTCAGTGTCACTGATTTCAAGTCCTATCATGGTGCTTAGCGCCATGATGGATATCTGGTGACGACTTAGCTCCAGAGGTATCGATGTAGTCACTGGCTGACCCCAGATGGGAACGATCTGTTCAAGGATGGGCAAATCCCCATGAGGTCCAGCAAATTCCTGGTAGGCAGTCTTCATCATCATGTTTCAGGTCATTTTACAGACCTCGAGGCAAATACAAGGAGGGGGGGCGGGGTTGGTGATAATCAGAAAACATGGCTTTAGCATTTGCCATGTGATGACGAGCAAGTGTAACTATATACTAACTTATCCAACAGGGGGCTGAGGCAAGGTGATCTCCAGGACCCGAACTGGAGAGGCCCCCATCTGTCTTCCATGAAGCATTCCAATGACCCCGCACAATCAGAAAGATTTGCTGCCTGAAACAGGAATTCTCGCGGGCGGGGTGGGGGGGTGGGGAGGGAAGGACAGA